CGCTACCACGGCCGCTCCAGCGGTATACGCGCGCTCTGATTGGTCAGGGTTTTCACTTAATATCTCCTTAACGAAGCCCCATCCGACATTTTTGCAAAGGAAATTGTTGTTCAGAATCGTCTCAGCTGCCGTCCATTTCCGGCTCCTCCCCGACTTTTGGGACACCCTGTATATAGAAATATTGAGTCTACATACTCATGCATTTAGCCATAGACTATAGACTCTATATAGATGTCTAGCTGACTGATGAATTGCAATGGCAACGTAATATGGCGGACATGGCTTCACTCTATTACTTAATTACTCGCTAGATGGCAATACCATCGCGCTACCGGTTGTTTTTGTAAATTATAAACATTTGAATAACGTTTACGACTGTTTACGACTGTTTACGACTGTTTACGATCGAATGAGTAGAGTATCCAACAGCTGATAAATAGATTTCTAATAAGTATGAGACGAAAATTGATCGTAGCGATGAAGGAGATATTCTACAATGTGCAGTTCAACAGAAATAGTCACAAAAATAATTTGAAAAGGTTAAGAAAATATTACGAGCAGGTATACACAAATTATTCAAGTAGATTTATGACGTTCTAGTTTAAATATAATTGTCATTAATTCTTCCTTTTTTATTTCAGAGCGAGTTGTCGAATTTTTGGGAAATATTTGTGTCCTGCTTTAAGCTTCCGCTTACTAACGGTCAGCATCATCGGCACATTGAATATACTCTAGAATTCGTTGCTAAGTTTGCTGCTAGCTTATATACAATCACAGATGACGAGTCGCAAGAATCGGTGTGTCCTTTTCTCGTTAAGCTGTTTGATTTTCTTTTGAATAATCACTCCGTGAAGGAGATGGCGGTACGATATCGCATTTGTCAATTTTTAAATATATTACTGTTTTCTATGGGCGATCAAGCATTCATAGATGATGCTCTGTGTGACAAAATAACCATCTCTATGATGGATCGCTTAATAGATAAATCTCCAAAAGTCAGGGCTCAGGCGATCGCTGCTTTACATAGACTTCAAGACCCTATGGACGATCAATGTCCGATCATAAAAATGTACATGTTCCACGCTTCTAAAGATCCTAAATCAGAGGTTCGCAAAGCAGCACTGATGTACATGGGAAAAAATCAAAGAACCTTGCAGGTAGCGTTAAGACGAACGAGAGATGTAAACGAAGGCGTACGTAAAATGGCGTACGAGTTTATTAGTAAAATTACTGTTAGATCTTTGTCTATTACGCAAAGAGATCGTTTATTGAACGACGGTCTGAAAGATAGATCTGAAATAGTTAAGAAGTGTGTGGAAAATGTTTTATTGCCGTCATGGTTAAGACATTACGACGGGGATTTTATAAACTTAGTGAGGGCTCTGGATGCTGAAATTGGTACGGATGTGTCTGTTCTCGCTCTAGAAACATTATTCAAGTATGGATTTAATTTATACTTAGTCACGCGTGTAAATAAGTATTTATTTTCAGTAGTAAATGATGAAATTTTATTCAATTAGGAGAAGCGCGTTGAACACGTTGATAGAACAGTTACCTATAAACAAAGAAACAAAATTAATTCCACTTGATAAGTTAACTACGGAGAATGTATTGTATTGGAGATGTTTACTAAAATATCTTTATCAGAACGAATACACAGAAGAATTGGAACAAGTTGTACCCGAATTATCCACGTTCTGTACATACATCTCTGATTTTCTAAGATCAATGTCTACAAACCAAAGCGAGATATGGGTGAATCACATGCAGAAGTTCATTCTTTTACAATTGTTCGAGATAACGACTACGTACGATCTATCCGACGAACTTGGACGAAAGAAATTGAAAGAATTGATATGCAACAACCTGTTGAGCAACTATTGGTCCGTAAAAATCATTGGATGCACAGTGACGCACTTACAAAAAGTTATACCGGATGTAAATAGCAGAATAGATACCTTAGCTCATATAATCAGTGACATCAGATTGCCTTTGAAAGAACCTTCCCAAGTTACTCAGATCTCCGAATACCAACTGGACGAGCTTAACGTACAAGTAAGTAACTAATATAAAAATAAACATTCGAATCAGGCTGTATTTTTAACGAGCTGGGCTTTCCAGAAAGCAAGACTCAAGGTGAAATTGTTGGTGCTGAAAGATGAAGAATACGAAGCTATACAGGCTGGTCAGTTTTTGAAAGCGGACAGTCTGCAGAAAGAGATAAACGCTTTGAATCAAGAAATAATAAAATTGTCAGTTCCTCCTCCTCCTCCTGCGACACCTGTCGAAGAGATCAAAGAGAAAGACGATCCTGAAACGATGATTAAATGCCTGAGCATAATCTGCACTATGATGCAGCCTATAAATTCGTTGACGCCAACTCTTAGAGGTCTGATGCAAATAGGGTTCGACAGCTTAGAGGTGAGTGGTCGTTGTCTCTCTTGTATTTGTTTGCGATTGATTTGGTATTAATTTCTAATTTCAGCATCCAGACGATAACGTACGCGTACTGGCGATTAAAGTAATCGGTATCAATTGTATATTGGATAAGGAGTTGGCGAAGAAGCATCTCTTAACGTTGTTCCTACAGTTTTCTTTGGAGCAACAAAATCAAGAAATTTGGATCGTAACTCTGAAAGGGATCTTTGATCTTTTATTGGTGTATGGTCTCGAATATTTTGACATTTTAGTGAATCGAAACGAACCTATGAACAGGACTGAAAAATCTCACAGTGTTAGGTTATATTCAGATGCTGACAGAGAGGTTTCTTTATCGTCGACGCAGAGGATAGATGAAATAGGAGGAAATAATTGCAATTTTATCCAAGTTTTAGTGGGATTATTAGACAACGCAGTAAGTATCCATTAATTAAAAATTAATTAGACATTATAAATTAATTACTAAATGTCTATTTTCATAAAAATGCAGAACGAAGAAGTAAGAACGGTTGCCGGCGAAGGTATCGCGAAGTTGTTACTTCATAGACGGATAAATAGCTCTACTTTGTTATCAAGATTAATAATTTTATGCTATAACCCTGTGAACGATGGGGATTTTTATCTTCGACAATGTTTATCTGCTTTCTTCAATAACTTTTTAATACGTGTGCCTGAGGGACAAAAAATGTTTGAGGAAGCGTATTTACCGACGATGAAATTGTTGTACACTGCACCAAACACCAGCCCTTTGCAAGAAATCGATCCTTATCACATATCCAGATTTATACTGAATATGACAAGACAAGACATTTTTAAACCTACACCGGAAACCTACTGCGCCCATAATAATATTGTTTTCATTATTTTGGGGGAAGTGTTGAATCCAAATAATTTCATCGACCAAGAAATGCTCCTTCGATCTCTACTGCACTTGCATCTGAACATAGACAGCGATACGTTCAAAGAAAGATTACAGATAACTATACAGAAAGTTTCAGAGACGGTGAGTTATCTTATACAAAGTATATAGGTTACTTCTAGAAGCGTTGGTTGGTATCGATATAATATATTCCTATTTTCTATAGATAAACTCATCTAATAGACGACTAATGAAGTACATCGAACTGTTTATAAGAAAATTAGAAACTCCAAATGTCCATATTCCTGAGGATGAAGACACCGAAGAAGCTGATGATTGACAATTATTTTATAAGTTGTACTATATGAATATATTTTTATTTAATTTAGTTATGTACCATTGTCACGTGGACGTTTATTAAAATTTGTATATTTGTTACGAATGAGAAAATTAATTAAGGGCCTCCTGCTCTTGATCGAGATGTCCAGAAAGTTTTGAAACTGATTTATGAAGATTGAGAAAAATGGAGTTGCTCGAAAGATGTTCAGTTGGGCTTACACAAAACAGCAACAAAAGTTTTAATAAATACACTTGGAGTATGAAACCTAAATACATATTTAATAGAAAAAAAATAGTTGAAATTGCGTGGAAAATAGGAGCTTGTATTTTCAATGAAGTATTTGGACCGGTGATGAAAATAATGGATTCCATGGGCAGTAAACTCAGCCTGACAAGGTTTAAGTGGAAGAATATGAAAATTTCAAAGAGCGGAAGCGATTTTGAGTGGTGCAGGCATCGCTGATTAAGTTAAGGTAAGACGTTTCATGAATTTTGAAGGTTGAAGTAGAATCTGGTTGTCGTCTGTTTTTCGCTCTGTAATAACAATTAGTAAGGAGATCCTCAAGGCTTTTTTTATGCACAATCTCTTTGATATTGATACTAGAATATAAATTCATCAATCTTCGTGTCTTCAGGAAGAATATAAAATAAACATTGAAAATTAAAATTATTTTGGAGATCCTTTATTGAAAAGGTAAATCAAGGTTTCAACAGTCCATAATTATTTGCACCTGAATGAAATAATACCGTCGCACTATCGCGAGACATTTGACTTTCATATACGATCGACAACGTCTCAAAAATTAGTAAATGTCACGTCCTCTGATAAACAATGTTATCTAAAATGTTGAATCAAATGTTCGTGGTGCTAAGATAATTATTCATGAGCTGTATCTACCGCGAGTGTGACAAACATGCTTTTGGAGACAAACGAGTGAAAACTATCGATATCTTCTAATCAGACACCCTGTATATCTATTAAAATACTTCGATATACAAATTTATACAATTGTTCATGCGCGAGTTAACAGAGTATATAAATTTATACGTTTTATCTACCGATTAAACGTTCATTTCACAGATGTTATATTATTCATTATGAATAACGAAATGTTATGTTTGACAAAGGAATAGAAACTAATGAGGAAACTATACAACTATAAAACTAAAACTATAAAACTGTACAACTATACAACTATATAAGTATGCAACTATACAACTATATAACTATCCAACTATAAAACTGTAAAACTATGCAACTATACAGCTATAAAACTGTACAACTATATAACTATGAAACTATATAACTATACAACCATACAACTGTAAAACTATAAAACTACGTAACTATAAAACTGTACAACTATATGACTATGAAACTATACAACTATAAAACTGTACAACTATATAACTATACAATCATACAACTATA